GAAGCAAGTCTGAAAGTTGCAATTAATCACCTTGATTAGCATTGCAAAGCCTTGCAGCTTGAAGGCCTGGCTGATTCCTGCCCAGGGGAATCTTTTGTTGAGAGGTGTTAGCTGGCCCCAGTTGTTACCTGTCTGGAATTCCCCTATTTTCTGAGTGTTGTTCTTTATTGTCCCGATTTTAGATATTTTTAAATACTGGTAGCCAGATTTTGTTCATTTTCATGGTTTCTTCCTTTTGGTTGAAATTTTCACATGCTTGTGGATTTCAGTGGCTTCTCTGTGTTGTTTGACATAGTGGTTGTTAGAGTGGTCCAGCATTTCTGTATTCTCAAATAATATGCTGTGTCCAGGTTGGTTCATCAAGTGCTCTGCTATGGCTGACTTCTCCGGTTGAGTTATTTGTGTCTATTGCATCGTCTGCAGCGATGAATTCTCTACCTGTTAGGCTAGGAAAAACTCAGAAAAGTAGGCCCAGGAAGTTCAGCAGCCATTTTAGAAGGGTGCCTGGGGGCATCCATCTTAGAATCTCATTTCCTGGAGGGGGCATCCGTAGGAGCAGCTTGGAGGGAAATGAGGAGAGTTTGTGATTGGCTGGGTGAGAGTAGGTGGAGCTTAACTTGAGAAAAGAAAAAAAAATGACTTTAAGGGTGCATTTTAAAACCTGACAGCTCAGTTAGGGTCTGTGTGTCAGAGAAAAAGGAGTTTTGGGTTTGGTGTGAAGAAGAGAAGAGCTAGTGAAGCCTGAAGTTGGTCAGTTAGCTAGCAGAGTTAGTTAGTGAGTAGATTATAGCTATTGGGAAAAATAGCTGGTGGAGTGGGGAGACCCCAAAAGGAAAGGACTGTCTGTCTGGAGTTTAGGATTACTAGGCAGAGAGGAATCCTGTCAGTAGTTTCTGGAGGGAGAGAGAAGTATTATTTGCAACTAAGTTTTGAATTGCTTAAAGAAACCATATGCTTTATTCAATATTGAAACAGCTACGCTTAATGCCTGTTTTGTTCAAGTTCTCTCAAATAAACAACATGGTTCTTTGTTCACAACCACTGCTTAAGTGTGCCTCTGTGTGTGAAGATCTAAAGCAGTTTATAGAAGAAATCAAAGTATAAATACAGATATCGCTCAGGTGTATTTTAAAAAGTAATCTCTTTAGTGTTACCTCAGAATACAAAGCCTGAGTGCGAATCCAGCACATTCTAGCCTAACAATACCTCCAGTAAGCCAAGGGCTTAACATTTCTTTTAAGTGTGGTGGTAGACAGTGTTCTTTTGAAAGGTTTTTTGGCCAGAAGATTGCACCAGCTTATTTAGTTTTTGATTTTAAATTACCTAAGCCACATTCCATTACAAGTGGTTGGCAAGCAGTTGGGATTTTTGTTAACAATCCCTTATAAGTGGTGTCAGCTTGTGGGATCTCTATTTAAAATCCCTTATCCATTATATCTGCTCATAAAGAAGTTCTTACCAATGTTGAAGGGGAATCTATTTTCTTGAAATTTTAATTCAGTGGAAAACATTTTGTAAAGAGTTCTATGAGGGAATACCTGTGGGAACAAAATGTTATACCAGAATGAAAAACCTCCATGAAAAGCTCTATTTAGAAGATGGCTCTAGTTGTTCAATACAGATATCGCTCAGGTTTTTTTAGATTCCATTGGCGGAATATATTACAAAACAATTCCCTGGATGGCAATATTTGCACAAAAACATGGGAAGATCCCGTAACATCCAAAATTTAGTTGTTCAGTTGTTAGTTGTTTATGCATCTGAAATGCAACAACTATATATGTTGGTTTTACTGTACTGTACTTGAATTTCTCTTTTGCTTTTTGCCAGCAAAAGAAGAAATGTCAGACAACAGAAATTCAAAACGGTATCCTCAGGATTCACCACCCTACACTGCCCCATTATCTCCTAAACTCCCAAGGACTGAAGCCCAACCATCAGAAGGTAAAGTATACGATCATTACAGGCAGTCCGTGAGTTAACAAACATCCAACTTCCAGGCCATCTTCAAGGGAAGCCCCATGTAAAGTGCATTGCAATAGTCCAGTCTAGAGGTAACTAAGACATGGACCACCATGGTCAAGTCAGACTTCACGAGGTATGGTCACAGCTGGCGCATGAGTTTTAATTGTGCAAAGGCCCTCCCAGCCACCGCCGACACCTGTGCATCAAGCATAGATGCACCCCAAGGATGCTGAGGCAGGATAAACAGGATAGAGGCTGCTTGAGGGAAGGGTTTCCTATTTCTCTGGTTTTCCTTTCCATTGCTGAAAGCTTTGGTGTTCTAACACTTTTGTTTTTACAGAAGGAATTCTAAGCATGCAGCAACTGTAATGTACACCTTTTTGGCCAAATTATGATAAGTACACTTTTTGCTGCTGCAGTGATCCCCTTGTGCACCAGCTAGCAGCAACTCTGCCGAGCTCCGGAGAAGAAGCTCTCCCGAAAAAAGATTTACAACTTAGCCAACTTAGCTAAATCGTTCTCTGTGAGAAAGATTTACATCTGAGCCAAACTGTTCCCCAGAGAAGATTTACAACTGAGTTTAATTGCTCTTCGTGAGTAAGATTCGCGGGAGGGGAAGATCAGAGGGTTAGAGTGTGGCTGCCTTTACAACAAGGTTAAAACGCTCCCTTCTAGACCATCTATTACAACGCGGGCAGAGTACTCCCTCTCTTAGTCAAGATCAGAGAGAGCTCAAAAATAAAAAATAACAACGAGTCCCTGACCTGCAACACCCCAGGACCCCATAGGGGCCGTCTGGTGAGATTTCCAGGGAAATAGGAAGGGAGAGAGAGGGGAGAAGAAGGAGGCTGAGCTGAGGCCATTATTTTCACCTTCTCGGCCGGAGCTCGGTGGAGCTCGCTCCCTCCTAATATCCTAATTTCGCCTGCGCTTGGAAGACCCGAAGGCGCAGATATTATCCCTGCAGGGCTTTGCTTGTGCTGCTGCTTTCGGCTTCGGGTTCGGCTGGAAGATGGCCCTTTTTGCTGAGCTGCTCTGATCCATTGCTGTGTTGCTGCTTGGGAGAAGCCTTTAGAAGCCCAGTTGTCACTACTGAGACCCCAATCTTGTGTTGCTGCTATTGTGTTGCTGTATAAATAACATCTGATCTCCAGCTTTGAAAGCTCTTGGCAACTGTGACGTGAATTGACTAACAACGGACCAACAGACACTGCCTCTTGCATGAGTATACCATCTGCTCATCTGCTTGTGATTAGTGCCACCACCCATTGGCTGGTCGGGAAGAGGCGGGAGCCTGGCCAAGGGGATGCCGGCTTGTCCTTCACGGATCCTCAGAAACCGGTCTCCTAATTCTGAACTGACTACCCTTGATTGAGAAGTGGCCTAGTCCAAGAAGGCAAAGAACTTTTTTCGAACTGGTTCTACTACTATGTCACTTTAGCCTAGAGCATTTTAGATCTTTCGGTGGTTGTCCGGTATCCACCACCCCCGGAAGACTGAGTCGGCCACCTGTGACCAAATTACCGCCACCTTTGCATCCCGCTGATCCAATCTTGGACAAATTGTGTGATCTTTCATGGTCCAGCAGTGCCTGCTGATTGTGTTGACTGTGTTGAACTGCTGATTGTTACTGTGTAGACCTCTTGTGTAGACCTCTTGTGTAGACCGTTTGTGTAGACCTCTTATGCTGGCCTCTTTGTATGAAGAGATATCATCGTAGTTCAACTGTGCTGACCGCCGCTGTGTTGACATCGCCGGATGACCCATCCGCTTTTAGACCAACCGTCTAGGGATTACATCTGAATCATAACAATTTTAATAACCTTATCCAATTACTATTACCATCATCCTTGTGAGAGTGTGATTACATATCACTACCTCAGTTACCCCTTGGTTGTCGTTTGCTGCTAATTTGATCAAGAACGCAATAGCACTTTAAGGCGCCTGCCACTGCTGCTAAATTATACCAGCACTACGCCCCCATCCTTTTCCTCTATGCCGCACTTTAGTTAATTGAGAGAACCAGTTTGGGTATCTATTGCACTTAGATCTTGCACTTTATGTACTGCACCTTAGATCTTGCACTTTATGTATGTGCCCAACGGTACGCAGTATGTTGTTGATTGAGTGATATTACTGACTGGGTGGCATTTAAGTCTCTTGCACTTTACGAACTATTCAACTGGTGTGGCTGAACGCCTAGCTCCACCTGAATCTATTGTTATCCATGTGGCTTCCCATCCCCCTAGTTGTTCTGTCCCTGTTACTGTTGACTGGTGGAGGGGGCAGGGGAGGGGGGGGCTGGAGCCTGTGAACAAGGATGGGGCGGGGAGGGGGGAGGAAGGGAGGCAAGGGAGATGGCAAAGGCCAACAATCCGAACTTCGAGCGATATTGAAAATAAGACCTTTTGGATTGCGGCATGGAGGAGGGGAGGTGTTCCACTAGCCGAGGGGCCCTCATAGAGGTCGTGGTGGGGAAGGGGAGATGCGGAAAAAGGAGACCTCGAATTCGGCCTAATTCGGACCGCTTATCTACATTAGTAACCCCAAACCGGTCTCCTAAGGTAAATTGGTGTAACCAGGTGAGCGGGCCCTCCGGTTTGAAGGTGGTGCTGCTGAACGCCAGTCTGTCAACGGAAAAACGACCTGGATCCAGGACTTAATCCTGGATGAGCGGGCAGATCTGGCGTGCATTACGGAGACCTGGCTGGATGAAGCTGGGGGCGTAAATCTTACCCAGCTTTGTCCTCCAGGCTTCTCCGTACAGCACCAACCGAGATCCGGAGGACGGGGAGGCGGGGTCGCAGTGGTCTATAGAGATTCCATCCATCTGACCAGGAGTCCCATCCCGCAGACCACAAATTTTGAATGCGTCCACCTGAGGGTGGGTGACCGGGACAGAATAGGGATTCTGTTAGTGTACCGTCCACCTCGCTGCACTACAGTCTCCCTACCTGAGCTAGCGGGGGTGGTCTCGAGCCTGGCGGTGGAGTCCAACGGCTTCTTGTGCTGGGGGACTTCAACATCCATGCCGAGGCGACCCTCACAGGAGCAGCTCAGGACTTCATGTCCGCCATGGCAACCATGGGGCTGTCCCAACGAATAACTGGCCCTACCCACTGTGCTGGACATACATTGGACTTGGTTTTCTGCCAGGGATGGGAGCAGGGTGGCGGTGTGGAGGAGTTGTCCATCTCTCCGTTGCCATGGACCGACCACTTCCTGATCAGATTTAGGCTCACTGCGCCCCCTAACCTCTGCAAGGGTGGAGGACCCACTAAGATGGTCCGCCCCAGGAGACTGATGGATCCGAATGGATTCCTGACGGCTCTTGGGGATTTTCCCGCCACCTCGGTAGGTGACCATGTCGAGGCCTTGGTCGCTCTCTGGAATGGGGAGATGACCAGGGCAATTGACATGATCGCTCCGGAGCGTCCCCTCTCAAGTAGCCGAGCTAAACCAGCCCCTTGGTTTACCGAGGAGCTGGCAGTGATGAAGCGAAGGAAGAGGGAACTAGAGAGCGTGTGGCGTTCGGATCCAAGCGAGTCAAACCGAGCACGGTTTGTGTCCTTTCTTAGGGCATATGCCGCGGCAATAAAGGCCGCAAAGAAAGTTTTCTTTGCGGCCACTATTGCGTCTGCAAAGAACCGTCCGGCGGAGTTGTTTCGGATTGTAGAGGTCTTTTAACTCCCGCCACCTCAGGCGGGAGCCCTGACAATTCGGCCACGCGCTGTGAAGCATTTGCTCGGTTCTTTGCAGACAAAGTCGCCTTGATCCGTTCTGGGCTGGACACCATGTTAAATGCAGTCTCAGAGGATGTGATACGAGCACCTGCTTGTCCTATTTTGATGGATTCTTTTCAGTTTGTGAAACCCGAGGATGTGGACAAGATACTTGGAGGAATGAGGCCCACCACGTCCATCCTAGACCCCTGCCCATCCTGGCTTCTGAAGGAGGCCAGAGGGGGATTGGCTGAGTGGGTAACGGTGGTGGTTAATGCCTCCCTTCGGGAAGGCAAGATTCCAGCGTGCTTAAAACAAGCAATTATAAAACCGCTGTTGAAGAAACCATCATTGGACCCCACTAAATTTGACAACTTTCGGCCTGTTTCCAATCTCCCCTTTTTGGGCAAAGTCATGGAAAGCGTGGTGGCCTCACAACTCCAGGTATTCTTGAGAGACACGGATATTCTGGATCCGGCACAGTCTGGTTTCAGACCGGGACATGGTACCGAGACGGTCTTGGTCGCCTTAGTGGATGATCTGCGCCGGGAGCTAGACAGGGGGAGTGTGTCCCTGTTGGTGCGCCTGGACCTCTCAGCGGCCTTCGATACTGTCGACCACAGTATCCTTCTGGGGCGCCTTGTGGAAATGGGCCTTGGGGGCACTGCTCTGCAGTGGCTCCACTCATTCCTGGAGGGACGCACCCAGAAGGTGTTATTGGGGGACTCCTGTTCTGCCCCACAACCTTTGACTTGTGGGGTTCCACAGGGTTCCATACTGTCCCCCATGCTGTTTAATATCTACATGAAGCCGCTGGGTAAGATCATCCGGAGTTTCGGGGTGCGGTGTCATCTGTACGCAGATGATGTCCAACTCTGTCACTCCTTTCCACCTGCTACTAAGGAGGCTGTCGAGGTCCTGAACCGGTGCTGGCCGCTGTGACGGTCTGGATGAGGGCGAACAAATAAAATCCAGACAAGACAGAGGTACTCCTGGTCAGTCGCAAGGCCGAACAGGGTATAGGGTTACAGCCTGTGCTGGATGGGGTCGCACTCCCCTTGAAGGCGCAGGTTCGCAGCTTGGGTGTGATCCTGGATTCATCGTTGAGCCTGGATCCCCAGGTTTCAGCGGTGACCAGGGGAGCATTTGCACAGCTAGGCTCGTGCGCCAGCTGCGCCCGTACCTCGGGAAGTCTGACTTGGCCACGGTGGTACACGCTCTGTCACATCCCGGCTTGACTACTGCAACGCTCTCTACGTGGGGCTGCCCTTGAAGACGGCCCGGAAGCTTCAGCTGGTTCAGCGTGCGGCAGCCATGTTACTAACTGAGTGGGATACAGGGAGCACACAACGCCCTTGTTGTCCCAGCTCCACTGGCTGCCGATTTGCTACCGGGCCCAATTTAAGGTGCTGGTGTTGGCCTACAAAGCCCTCAACGGTTCCGGCCCAAAATACCTTTCGCACCGCATCTTGGCCTATGAGCCCACGAGGACCTTGAGATCGTCTGGGGAGGCCCTTCTCTCGATCCCGCCTGCCTCACAGGCACGCCTGGCGGGGACGAGAGAGAGGGCCTTCTCAGTGGTGGCCCCCCGGTTGTGGAACACTCTCCCTACAGACATCAGGCAGGCGCCCTCTCTTTTGTCCTTCCGAAAAAGCCTCAAGACGTGGCTGTTCGAGAGGGCATTTAATTAAGTGCTATAGTAATGTGGTAAAGACGACTGGAATGGTACAAGGAATACGAGATTGGTCACGATTCTATTACGAGACGAAGCGGATTAGTTAGTGTAATTTTAACTGTTGTATTGTTGTATGGTTAATATGCTGTTGTACTTGTCTTTGTGTGAATTGCCTTTTGTACTGTACACCGCCGTGAGTCGCCCGAGTGGGCTGAGAATGGCGGTTAATAAATGCTCCAAATAAATAAATAAATAAATATGTGCTGTTCTGACTTACACACAAATATGGATGTCATGTTCACAATAATTCTAGGCACTGCAATCAGGACCTCAGGGCCTTTATTTTTTTTATATTTGGGGCTGCGGTAGATGGATCCGAGCTGACTCACATACAGCTTCCTTTCCTAATGTTCATGATCACTTCAGTAAGCTAAACCTCAGCTCCAATATTCAACAAGATTATTGACCCCTCCCTATAGCTTTTTCACCATTGCTATTAAACACTGATCTTTCCTATAGGTAAATATGTTCAGGTTGAGGGCGGGGGTGGAGTTATGCTGCCCCAAGATCATGATTAAGCTTCCTGTTTCTCTGCTGCATATAGCGACATTGGAACATGAATCTGTTTTCACTGCCAGCTGATGGCTGATCATGGGGGAAATGAGTGGTACTTTACAAACTCCACAGAGACAGCTGTGGCCTTTATGCTTAATACTATAGCACCTCTTATAGCACATGGAATGTTTGTTTGTTATCCTGATAACAATCCATTTTAGATAAGACATAATTATTTACAGATTGGGAAATGAAGCTAAGGAAACTGTATTTCCAGCAAAGACTTTGCAGACCTAGGTTTAAATCTCACCTTAAGTTCTATAAGAATGTCCCCCCTCTCCCCCTGCTTACTAATGCTAACGAACTGCATTCCATCCATTATTTACAGCAGAAACTCTGCCGAGTGAAGAAAATGGCACCCCTAAAGAACACAGGTTTTCTGAGGACTCAGTGGATTCTGCACTTAATTCAGTCAATCCCTCAAAACCGAACTGCCGGAATTCCATTGAATATCGTACCTCAGGGAATGCAGCCTCTTACAGGAATTCTCTCCCACCGGTCACCGCTACCTCAAAAGCAGCACCAATCCTGCAGAGACTATCATCGAGTTCTGCTGGGAACACCAGCTATTATGAAGTCAATAGGAATAGACTCCAGAGGAGGATTGAAGGTATTCCTTGTACCTCACCCTTTTAAAAGTGCATGTTCGGGTCATCTGTTGCCTAACAAAAATTGATTAATTAATTAATTAGACTATGGAAGTTCTATCCAAACTGCTTGAGACCAGAAGTATTTTGGATTTCAGATTTATCCCCCAGATATATGTACATAATGATGTATCTCAGAAATTCATTTATGTTTCCTATGCTTCTTATACACATAAATGTGATTTTATACAAATTTAAATGATTTTTCACATGAAATAAAGTTTGTGCACATTGAACCATCAGAAAGCAAAGTTGTTGTGATCCTTGTGGACCATTTCAGATTTTAGAATTTTGGATAAGTGATGTTCAACCAGTATTTAGCTATTTAAGCTTTTGGAAAGGAAAACAAACCTGCAAAGTCGGTCAAATGATCAGCAAAACGGAGACTAAGGGAATCCTGGGTGCAGCTACACTGTAGAATTATTGCAGTTTGATGCCACTTTAACTGCCATGACTCAATGCTATGGAGTCATGGGGGCGGAGGTTACTTTTACAAGATCTTTAGCCTTTTCTACGAAAGAGTGCTGATGTCTTACCTAACTACAACTTCCAGGATTCCATAGCATTGAACAGTTATTCTTGCTGCAGTATAGCTGCACCTCCCGTCTTATGCTAGAGAGATACTTTACCAGAAATGGGCTAGTTGTAGAACAATAACAATCCACTGCTAAAGTGATCAAACAGATATGAGCAATCTCCTTTGATAATGTCTGTTTTTTAAAAGAGCCAGTGTTCTTGATATCTCAGGCATTGGTGTTCTATTGTTTCTGTTATTCTCTGTGTTTTTAAACATTCTCTGCCTCTTGTTTTGTCAAATTCTCCATTATTGTATTCAGACTTCGTTAGCCAATAAGTCTGTGCCAAAATTGCTGCATTTCATAAATGCTAGTCTATATGTATATATTTTTCATCCCTGAAGATAGAACAAGTATAAAGACTCACTGAATCAATAGGAACTTGGGTTTTTTTGTTTTTGTTTTTTTTGGTAAATCAACACTTATTTAAATTCATTTAATTCAGTGAGCCTACTTTAGTTGGGACTAACAGTTAAACTTAGACCTTTAGATTTTTCTTATAACACTTTCTTCTAAAGACACATCTAATCTGGTTGTAACTATGAAAGGCATTGTATGGGAAAAGATAGGGGAAAGCCCTATTTTAATTCATTTCCCTATAATAGGGAAATGAATTAAAATTGCACCTTGGGGTGCATTTCCCTTCCTAGGGTAGATTTCCTTTCACATCCTCTTGTCTTACCCCCCATTTGTAAGTAGGGATTTTCAGGGATGTTTGTAATTCAGGGACTGCCTGTATCCATAAGTGGACAAAAAAAGCCTAAGGACTGTGCGAGTCTGTTGTGTGAGTCTGTGTGTCTGTCCATCCCCAAATGTACCGCTGCTATCAAAGGTGTCTTAATTTTCATCATTTTGTATATTTAAGCTGCTAGCTCTACAACAGGACCGGACCTCAGTGCACTGAAACGGGAGCCTTCCCGCCCACTCAACAAGGACCCTTCTGTGTGGTCAATAGAAGAAGTGATGCGATTTGTGAAAGAAGCTGATCCTCAGGCATTAGCACCCCATGCAGAACTCTTCAGAAGACATGTAAGAAATCTTGCTTATACATAACTTTTGTTTTTATGTTTGCCTATATTCAAGCATTTGGGGTCTCTTTCACATTTCACTATTTGTATCACTTTAACTAGCATCGTTATATTCTGCAGAAACTTGGATTTTTTTTTGTGGGAGGGGGGATAGGACATACAGAAAGATCTCTATAAACAACAAGTGGCACTGTTGGTCCTTTGTATACGTGGCCTTGGAATTTGCTGATTCAACCAACTGAAAATCAAAAATAATTTAAGAATACAGTAGTAGAATTTTTTAAAAAAATTAAGAAAAATTAAAAAGCCCAAGCTGTTTTTTTGTCCCTTTATATAAGGGACTTGAACATCCAGGGTGTTTTGGTATCTACAGGGGGTTATGGAGTCAATCCCCTGCAGAGGACCCACTATATAAGAATTTGAGACTTGTAGCATTAATTTTTAATTGACAAAAATTAAAAAATATTCCATGATACCCACTGTGCTTTCAAATAATTTGTGAAAGTATGATGGAAAAGATGCAAAATAGACAGTGAAAATGCATAGAATAAATGTTGGGGATTTCTTTATGTTTAATATAGAGAAAGATATTTGGCTTTCGAAGGTTTTAGTCTTTTAACAGCATCAGATATTTCAAATCAGGGAGTATTACTACAGCAAATTGTCACTTGCTTATCTTTGTATACTAGCAACAGCTTTCACTGTATGTTATATTATAATATATTATTCAAAGACAGTACCAGTTATTTTACATTGGTGACAAATGTTTGACTTTTTTTAGTTGCAAGATATGTTGATTCTTAAGGGAAAATAAGTTGATGAAAAGAGGAATAGCATCTGATAATTTACATCCTACCCTTTGTGGATTTAATAAAAGCTGTAAAAAAATCAAACATATGCTAAGGTTTATTTGCCAGTGATTGTTCAGTCAGAGTACAAATAGCTGGGATCATTTACCCCACTTAATGTATAATAAAGGTCTATTTTAACAATTTGCATTCTTTTCTAACTCTGTAATGTGTGCAACATCCTTTTGAAACAGTCCTGTCTCTTCCTGTGCAGGAAAATATTTAAAGAGGAGTATAATTTTACACCATATAGTTCACTGCCAATTAGTTGGTTAACCCAATAACACAAATTTCAGCTTTAAATAATTAGATGATGACAGACATTATGCTAGACACATGCACTTTGCAGTACAAGTTCTATTGTTTGGATAAAATTTGGAATGCTGACTTAGGCGCATAATGCGATACAACAATGTCCTTATCACTGAGATGCCAGATACTGCTTGGAGCAAGAGAGGAAAGTGTACTTTGTCAAAGGAGGTCCCTTTTCTTTTTTTACTTAAATGAAAATACATTTCTATGTGGCAAACATTTTCATGTTTATATATTATCAGACTATGAGACAAAGAAAATATGTGAAGGTGAAAATTGAGATTTGAATTTCTAAGTCAATCTATAATCATTTCAAATCAGACCTACCCCTTCACTGTGACTTGCTGTCCTGTGTTTGTCCTTTCTTCCCTTTTTAATGTTGAGTTTTTGTTCCAGGCTGATTAAACAAATTCTTATGAATTTCTTATTGATTATCTTTTCTTCCTGGCCACAGGAAATTGATGGGAAAGCGCTCTTGCTATTGAGAAGTGATATGATAATGAAATATATGGGGCTCAAGTTGGGGCCAGCATTAAAGCTGTGCTACCACATTGAGAGACTTAAGCAAGGGAAGTACTAGGCAGTGGACCACAGCCAGCGATGCTGCTCTGAGTGTGATGATGGCAAAACCTCTCAGGTTCATGAAGCTGCAGGAAGCACAATAAAGCAGAAACTTCACCTGAACGGAGGAATGGAAGACGACTTCACCTGAATGGAGGAATGGAAGACGACTCTGTTCACTTCAGAAAAACAAGTTTCTAGCAGATTGTGTCCAGTATTCAGTCTTAAAAGCATTGTCCGAAACCGTAATTGGTTTGTAGACATTTCTCAAAATATGAAATCTCTTTGTCAAGGAGAAACTTTTACATTTTTTGTATTTAAATGATTTAGAAGGTACAGGGGAAAAGATAATGTCCGAAGTATTTATATGGGAAGCTCTAAAATGTATTCCTGGCTATTCAACTTCAGCTGGTGCATTTTCATTTGAAACCAAAACAGCTGAATTCCAAAGGAGTCTTTTTTTGTCTTTTAAAATTCAGAATCTGAAAGTTTTTGAAATAGTGACTGAATTTATTTATAAAGCAAAAGGACCATCAATGTTGGCAATTATTTCATTACTCAGTTAAGGTTTTATATCTGGTACTCCCAAGAGACAAATATCAGATATTATTATATAGATTTCCATAAAGGGAATAGCCATATAAGTAGTTCTGTATGTTTAAAGACAAAGGTTTTTATACAGGTGTAGTTTTAAATTATGAGAAGAAACTTTACAATCTATTAACCGTTTAAGTTGGCAATAGTTTTTCCTGAGACGTTTTCACAGCTGAGTTGAGCAGCTTCCAAAATCATGAACAAATCCCAGTTGGCTTTACTGGAATACACTACCCATTGTTTTTAAGCATTCCATCTCTCTGGAGATCAGCATGAGTATGTTCATGCACTTGTATATTTATGTGTGGGGGTACATGTGTATACATATATAGATATATAAATATAAATATATTGTATATAGTGTTCATTTTTTTAAAAAATAAGTCTTTTAAAAGGTACTTTTGCACTGTGACAGATGATAAACTGTAGATCCATTTTTTAAACATTGGGAAAAATTAAAAATGTGCACAACAACACATTTTGCCCCAGTTTACATGTTGTTATGTGTAGTTCAAGCTGTGAAGCCTGTTGCGTACAGCGATCTTCGCATATTTAAAAAAAACAGCAGAGCACACGGTCAGATAGAAACTCTATCTGCAGTGGCAAAGAATCAATTCTTTTTTTTTTCCCCACTCCGAAACAGACTTTTTCAAGCTGCCAGGACATACTATGAGGAAGTTCGATTGGTCATGGATAATCTAGCAAAGGTCTTCATATGCAACTCTAAAAATTAGGTGCAAGGGTTTATTATCCCAAAGCACCTTTTTCTGCATGTGATTGGTCTTTGCTACATTAATAAATATAGTGTGTCATCCTCATGTTTCATTAAATTCCTGTCTGCTTTGCTTTCCTGTACTGGGGGAAAATGAAACAATCAGTCAATGGACAGGTGGATTTACACAGGGGAACTCCCTGGACTATGCAATATTCCTGAATTTTCATAATGTACTGAGCCATTTAGTTCTGGGAAGTTTCTGGAAAAGTGTGGGGGATTATAACTTTCATTGTTTCAATCTTCTTCTCCCACTTTCTTTTAAATGATGATTTTAACAAAGGGTTGAACTGCACATGAATGTGTGTTTTACCTAAACCTTTATGCTCTTTCTATAAGCTACAAGAAGTGCTGATAGTGAAAGATTTTGCTGTCACTGCCAACATAATATCAGGGACAATTATGTACATTTGCTATTTAGAGAACTGAATGTATTGTATGTAATAGTATAAATCAAGATAGAGATGATGTAGTCCTAAAGGGAAAGTAGATTTTATATTTCTTCCTGCCTTTTTTTGTATCAGAAGCTTCTAGTTAATGAAGAAAAAGTATTTTTGACACATTACTCATTTGAAAATGCCTTGCTTGCTGGTATTTTGATTACTCAGGTTTAGCAAAAATACAGCAAATTCACCAGACATCAGTATTTCATTATTGACTGCAATATGATTTAAATGAGTATTAATATTCTTTAGACAAAACCACAACTAAGCACAGGGGCTCTGTATTTTGGGACCCTCTGGTAGTTTTGTAGTATTAACATTTATTATACCAGCTAAGTTATTGCGTCTCATAACAGTATACAAACTATTTCACCAGCTGAGACGTAGCTAAAGAAACAAAGATTGAAAACCTGTTCAAGACCATGAGGGATCAGAGCTCAAATGGCATACTTGCATAGTAGCAACATCCCAAGTGGCACGAAGTTCCTTGCAGTTTTGAATTAACCAGCTTTAGATAGATACAGACATTCAAGGCCTTACCCAATTGTTGGTTAAACTTGAGAAAAATGTCAAGTATGAATAACAAAACATACTCCATTAATAACATTTACAAGCTAGAAAGTGGAAGAGAGACCCTGTGAAACCTAATGTATAGGTAACGCAAACCTATGATCAGTGGGTGACTGGGCAAGTCACACACTCTCAGCCTCAGAGGAAGGCTTCTGAACACATCTTGCCAAGAAAAGTACATGGTAAGTTCACTGTAGGGTCAGAAATAAAATGAAGACACACATCATCAAATTTGTTGTTTAGAAGCAGGAGGATAATTTCTTTGCCAGTTAGCAGACAAGAAATATCACTGACATAGTTCGTTAGTTTTATATAAGCTATACATGTCTGGAAACTGTTTCATACAAAACCTTTATAAAATAAGATTTTAGCCCTTGATGCATTTTGCCAGTGTGGTTTATTTGTTAGTATCGAAATAATATGTATTGCTTCATATACACCCAACAACACAAAATACAAGAATGTCATACGGAAACACGACCCTTGTATTATAGCATGATATCAAATTCTTTCAGTGTTTGTAACAATATATTTTTAATTCATTTTCAACTTATGTTCTCTTCTAAGCTGCAAATAAAACTTATTCAGTGTTAGACATTTGTATACCTGTTTTGGATAAAACTGTAATTTGTCATGGGCAGAACTCAAGGAACAGAGCACCAGTTTTCACAGACCCCACTGATGGCTAAGGAATCCCAAAGTCTATTTCCAGTTTCATAATTTCACCAATCTTATTTGCTGCTGTTTTCCCGAAGCTGGGCGGGCGGGCGGGCGGGGGGGGGGGAGTGTTGAGATCATAGGCAACTTGCATGATTCTCACACTTGCAGTATTTACACATACCCAGTCATTCTCCACCCTCCCAGACTTGCTAACAATGCTTCATTTAGATCAGGGTAGACATGGGAATTGCAGTCTGACAACCTTTGGAGAGCTGCACTTTGCCTATCCCTAAATTAAATAAAAACATATTTGCATTTTGACTATTATTTTACCAAACTAGCTCTGACACTTCAGTCAAATCAGATTTCTGTGGCCAAATCCATCTCCAAGTCTTACCCACAGAAGAATTCCCCCTTCTTTTATATTTTCAATTTTCTAGAAAGGAAGAGAAAAAATCCTAATGGTGTTAATGGACAATTGCTGAATGCTGTACAAGGACTGAAAGCTGTATAACGGAAAGTCTAAATATTGCTTTTCTCATTATGATAATGGGTTCTCTGATTTTCTAGATGATACTACTGAGGAGTATAGCCAGTATAACTCTTCCAGGTTAAAAAGTGATCATTTTAAGTTATATTTATTGAAGGTGGTCAACATTATGGAAATTATGAAAAAGAACTGCCCAATGAAGATAAACCTCTTGGGGAAAAACTTCAAAATGTTTCCAAGTGAAGTTATAAAAACTTGGGGTGCCAAAATGTATGGAGATAAAGAGACTCACCCACAGAGCCTTTGGGACCATTGGAGAAAGTGGCCTGCCTCACTTTTCCTAGGGATGCCTGGTCAGCCATAGGCTGGAGAAAGTAGCCCAGACCCCCAATTTTCCATGAGCCTCCAAGACCCAGATCACCCTCTGTCTCATGAGTAGAATGGGAATGTCCAGCTAGTCACATTAGGGCTGATGTTTCTTCTTACCTAGGGTGAATGTCACTTACGTTGCTTTTGTAACTCTTAAGTAACACCAGAAGGACCATCCCTTGATGTACAAGGTATCTTTTCCTAATACAATTTTGCTTGCTTAGAATAAACGCTTTCCTTTAAAGATTTCATTTAAACACTCTTCACCTTCCTTTGCTCAGTGGTTATACACATATATACATAATCCATATGAGCCAACAGCACACACATATATATACAGGATTCTCATCTCCTAGGGGAGAGGGAGGGAAAGTCTCCAGAGTCAGAAGTGGAAGAAATACAAATTAAACCTCTCAGTAACTCCCACTAGGTTGCTCTGTTATGTGGGGTAAAACAGTGGCGGCAGCACCTAGGCAGTCTGCAGAGGTGTCCTCCTCTACTCAAAGACAGGAGACAGGGACAAAGAGTGCATTACACTAACCCAGAGTCTCACCTTTAAGGTCAGAAGACATTCTCCCTACTGGTGCTTTGATGCATTTAAGAATGGGATACAAGTTTTGAGAAGATTCTCCACTAGTTTGGTATATACATTTGTTGTATATTTTGAGGGGCGCTTCCCTTAATTACCAGTCTTGAGCAAATATGAGATAGGTGGACGGTCCCTGGCCCAATCCATGGCAGCTCTAGGTAAGGAAAAAGAAAAACCTTTTTCAAGAAAATTAAGAAAATAATAATGCAGTGCTTCTCTGATGTGGGAGACCAATAATTATTCTATTGTGGCACAGATCAGAATTAGGTTCCAACTACACAGTGACCAACCTCACAAATTACTCATCTTGCAAGTTGTGCAGCCCCTCCTCACTATTTCTGTGTCACTAGAGAACAGGGGGAGGGGGAAAGGGGGGTGCATCCAGCTATTTTATTGTAGCTGGACACACTGCTAGAAGTCATCTGTAAAAAGCCTGGAAGGGTCCCTTGAGTTTGTGACAGCCTGTCCAGCTACATAAAAATAGACAGATGCCTCCAATCCTCCCTCTGTCCAATCTCCAGTGACAATATTTGATATGTGATATTTTAAAATAAGATCCTTATTAAATGACTAAAATAATACCTTGGTTAGCCACACTATACTGTCTCATGTGGAAGATCAAAGAAATGCAGAGGAAACATTAGAACTGTAAATGCTGGTTTGATTGTTATATTCACTAGCGAGGTGATGGGAGATTGGGAAACCTATTCATGTCTGCTCAGAAGCAAATCCTAATAATTAACTATTGTATAATGATTGTGTTGTGCAAGTTTTTGTAAGATATATTTAATGCTGGGTAATTGTTCCAACTCAAATATTGCCACTGAAGAAAGGGGTATGAATGTACAGATATATTGACTTTCTCATATATCAAAAAAATAATCCTGTGATAATGATTGGCAGGAATGCTGGCAGGTGTTATCATCAGCTGTTTACAGAACTGGACTTATTGTAAAAGATATTAAATTCAAATGCGCCAACCTCAAATGAGTAACAGAATAAGGATTCAAAATACATAACTGATTAGCTGTATATAGATTATATTGGGCCTGCAGAGAGATGGCACATTTACTTAAAGTAATATAATTCAAATTTTTATCATAGCTGAGGAATACTAATAAAAGTATTCCTTTGCTGTGTTAAAATTGTTTTTGCTTTTTATAGTTTCTCTGCAAGGAGATCGATCAATTCCTTTTATCCAATGTCACCATAGCAACCCCCAGCCCTTTCCTCTCACAAATATCCCTAGCCTTACATTTGGAAGTAAAACTTCTGCAATGCAAACTTTGCCCTGGTCCAGCGTTGCATGTTTAGGTCTATTAATCTTGTAAAATACTCAATACAGCCGGGAGTTTGTGCCCTGGACTATAACTCTGGAGACCGAGGTACAAATCTCCACTGGGCAAATCATACTCTGTCTCAGAAGAAGGAAAAGGCAACCTCAGAAAAAAAATCTTCCCAAGAAATCCACATGATAGGTTCACATTAGGGCCACTATAAATTGTAAATGTCTTGAAGGCACACAACAACACAATGCATTCAATACAATAGGAAACATACAATAGGTATGAAAGTCTCCCAATCTGGATTTAGTAGGCAGCCTCTGCTGCAAGCAACAAGAGTCTGCTCTTCTGATGGTTTGGATGGCACAGGCTGACATTTGCTCTAGATCAAGGAATTATGACTGGATCTTACTGTCACACTGCTGATCACTCGGAGACAGATGGAAATATCAGTCTTCTGAATCCCTACTGATAGGATAGCAGGTCCCTGTTGCTTGCAGACAGAAAAGCTGCCTAGTAAATCAGGATTAGGGGGGCTGGGTAACTACTTGCAGAGTGAGAGGGTGAAAAAAGTCTACACCACCATATCATCCTGAAACTGGATGATATGGCAGTGCAGATCCTGCCATAAGCACCAACTTCCAAAACCCCATAAAACAGTATTTCCAATCCATCATCCCAGCATGGAAGCCCAAAAAGTTAGTATGATTGGTAGGTTAGTCCAGGAACCCTTCAAAACATGATGAAACTGTCCCCTAAAAGATATTTGGTAGCAAAACATTTGATTATTGTTTTTGCAAAATTGAGTGGAGTGAGTGTGTCACCTGTAGGACCAATGTGGCCCTTTGGCTTTCCACAGCTGCCCACTCTTGCAATAATGATATATATAGCTGGTGTCCTGTTAGTGAATTAGGATGGCATAGGTCAGGCTTATTTATTTATGTATTTATTTATTTAGCAATTTTGTATACCGGTCTTCTCCCCTCTATCGGGGGACTCGGGCCGGTTTCCAACAATAAAATCACAAAACAATCATTAAAAACATCATATAACATATTCAATTAAAACGTTATAACAGCAAAATGCAATCACATAATAACAATGGTCAGTCGTCATAGTGAATTCGTTGTCCATCATTCATCGTCATCTATCCGATCACAGAAATATTGATTCACTCGTCGAAAGCCAAACCCCATAGCCAGGTTTTCACCCATTTTCTGAATGACAGAATGGAGGGGGCAGTTCTGATCTCCAGTGGGAGAGAGTTCCAGAGTCGAGGGGCCACCACCGAGAAGGCCCTGTCCCTCGTCCCCACCAGACGCGCCTGAGAGGCCGGTGGGACCGAGAGCAGGGCCCCTCCAGACGATCTTAACAACCTAGATGGTTCATAGGGGAGAATACGTTCGGACAGGTAAACTGGGCTGGAGTCGTTTAGGGCTTTATAGGTTAACACCAGCACTTTGAATTGTGCTCGGAAGCTAATTGGCAGCCAGTGGAGCTGGTGCAACAGAGGAGTAGTATGCTCCCTGTACCCTGCTCGTGTTAGCATTCTGGCTGCCGCACGTTGGACTAGTTGGAGCTTCCGGGCAGTCTTTATAGGCAACCCCACGTAGAGAGCCATACAATTCCGTTTCATGGTTATTGTGTAGATCGGAAGTTCATTGCAACAATGGAACAATCTAAATCTCCCTAGCACAGCATCCCATTTTCAGAGAATTGGGAGATGAGCAAGGGAAACATCCTATTGTTGGATATGCTATGAGGTCTATGGAGACCTTGGTGGTCCTTGTGTGTTCTTGGCCGATGTTCTCCTTCCCATGTGTCCAGCTACAAGAAACTACTGTATGCCTTCAATTTTAAGTCACCATTGACATACATAAGCACCTGTGATCCTAAAATGCACTCCATTTTTAGAGACATTTATATGGGGTGAAAAAGTGCATCTTAGTATCAAAGAAATGCAGTAGAGAGATGCATCCGTGATCAGTCCCTCACTCTCTAAAAAGATGTAAATGGCTGTGTTGGAGGCGGTTCTGCTTATAAGGTAAGTTTATTGGAATAATATTCGGAGACAGCCATGGCAATGTAACTACATGGTGCATGTATACCTACTATTGCAGTATCTTGGCCATAAATTTCACAATCTAATTTACATAAGAAATGTAAAAAACATCAAACTGACTATTTTTATTACATATATTTAGCAGTGGGGACATTATGTGCCATATCCTCTAGGAAATGAAATTCTAGTTTATTATTTAAATGATTTGATTATTTTATTATTAATCTTTTGAACATGATCTTAGTTTCCTTTTAGAGAGCTGGTCAAAACAAGGCCCATGGCTTGTTGGACTGAAAGAAGGAGGTTTTTTTTTACTTGAAGTGTATTGTGAGGAGGAGTGGAGGAGTTCTAAAAATGAAAATTTGAGAAAAAACAAAACAAAATGTAAATAGCCTGAAAGTTTGAAGACAACCAAATAATCCAAATTATTTTGGATTATTGTAAGACCTAACTGACCTAATATAAATACCAGCATAAACAGAGTTTTCAGACATGTGTCAAACCTTTCCAGACAAAAAGTGCAAATTAAAAGAGCACAAAATACTGGAACCAAATTAGCACGTACAAACATTTATTCTGAAAAGTCCATTCTACTCACCATTGCTCAGCATTACATCATCAAAGCACTTTATGGCAGTGAAAATAGCTCTTACCCCTCTTAATCACTCATCCATTATATCCCATTAAAGCTGCAAAATGTGCCATCACTTGAAAAATATGTTGCTTTTCATTTACTTGTAATGAAAATTTGAACGAAATATAGGGAGAGCCATTGCAATGAGAAGATATATCCCAGTCTCTCTTGTTGTCTTCTTCTCCTTAGCCCACCCCACCCCAGAGTCCCCCACCACCAAATAACTTAGAAGAGATAGTTTAAAGATTTAAATGTAATTTCAAATGAAGTACATCTCTTTATTCATAATAATTATACTGTAAAATGTTCTAAAACTTCATAAATTACTTTCTTGGAAAAAAGGCTGCCAGTCGCTGCTTTTTGATTGGAAGAATATGTATTTCCTGTGAGTTCATTTTCTTTAACTTGACATTTCTGTTTTTTATAGGTTTCCTAAGAGCTTCTGCATTATCCCGGGCTTCTGGCTGGTTCTTCACATCATAACACTGAAGAACCGAGTCCTGAGGCATGTCCCTTTTGAAGGAGAAGTTTTTTGTTGAGACCCCTGAGAGGCCTTTAATCTTGCCACAGTAAATAGTAGGCACTGCATCTTTGACAGAGACTATCACTTTGGCTGTCTGTGAGGTGCTTACGATTTCAATGTTATTGGCAGCCGAGGGCTCACATGTTGCAATATTAGTCTGATCCACCAGCCACTTTGGCGGCTGTCTCAGGTGTTCAGATGAACTACTGCTGATCACTCTGTTCTCAGCAGCCTTGGGTGGACTCTCATGAGGTTTTGAAGGAACAAAAGGAGAAACAGAAGTAGGAAGTTTGTCTGTCATGGAATGAACGGGACCTTCCAAGATAGGCCCAAAGTGACTGGTACTTATTGTTTCAGTGTTGCTCGTTTTCCGACATGAGGGAATGGATAAGTCCAAGACACCTTCCTCAGGTGAAAGCTGGGAATGGGAACTCTCCTCACTTTCCTTAACCAAAGGGGCTGCTTTCATGGACAGGTCAAGAACCTCATTCTCATTACCCATCTTAATAACAGTGTGCCGACTCAGCTGGGAGAGTCCCCGGTGGTGGATGAAATCAAATGGCTTACTTTCTTCTTTCTCCAAGGGGGTTTGGGTGCCTTTACAGGAATGCAAGACAAAGGAACTTGCCAGTTTGGAGCAGTCCAGGTTGACTTTAGATTCAGCACTGTGGGGAACAGGGATGGGGATGGGAATGGGCACAGGGACTGGGACCGGCAGAGGAACAATCACAGGGTATGGTACCAAGAGCGTGGCTGGAGGAACCAATGGAGACAAAGGGGAACTGAAGGGTTGTGGTGGGACAGAAGAGCAATCTGGGGATGGCTGATAGGGTGAGGAACCTAAGGCGCCTTGTGAGGGAAAGAGGTCCTGCAGAACGGCAGCAAACCCTGGTGTCTGAAACACAGGAGGCAAGACGGACTCCTGAGCTGGATTGGATGGTTTCTGATCCAAGAGTTGTGGTTGTCCCATTGGGGAAGAGGAGCCCTGGAAGATATTGTTGTGCATAGTGTTGGTAGCACAGGGAGAGCTCTGAGATAAAACTAGGGGAGAATTTAAATGCTGAAAGACATGTTGCTCTAAGAGGAGAGGCAGTGGGACTGGGCCTTGAGTGGTCATGACATATGGAGTGTTACTGTTAGGAGCAATCTGAGGAGCAGTACTCCCAGCTACTTGCAGATGTATTGGCAGAACTACTGGACTGTCCCCTAAGCAAATGGGCTGGAGCACGGTGGCAGCTACCTTGAGAGCTACCCCACTTTGGGATTCAGCAGGCGGGGTTAATATTGATGGAGTAGGGACTGATACCAAGGGCGAAAGTGCTTTCTTCATCAAGTCAGACGAGTTTATATTCCATGCTTCTGCAGTTATCAGTTGGGCAACTCCATTTTCCAGTTTGTTGTTAGCCATAGTTGAAGGAGAGTTGGTAACATCCATGGGCAGGTTTTGCGTGTCCTTATACAGTTCCTCCATTTTAAGGGATTCAGAGGCTTTGCAGAGTTGTTGTTTACATAGCCATCACTGGCATCCACTTTGTCTCTAGGCTGCCCAAAGCATCCATATCAACACTATCTGACCTGCAAAACAGAGACATGTTTTAAACACTGCATAAATCTCCTTCTTAAAATAATATTTGCAACGGATTTTTTAAAAACCTATCACCAAAACAGAGCATTAAGCGTTTCCACACTTTTAGGAAGAGAAGTCCTATCATACTGTGACCTAGATATAGCATACATGCATATACAGAACATACATTTCTGGAGTGTTATAGGAAGAGACCAGGGGGATTTAAAGTTAAGCATAAACAAAGATAAATTTAAAGGCTGAAGCAGCTATAGACTCAAGCAACCAGAATAAGAATCCAGGCTGTTCATTTGATATCTTTAAACAAAGCTTCATACAATGGTATCCTGTAACACTGGGAAGCAGCTGTACTGTTTACATTCAATATGAGTGCAAAAACTGAGAAGTCCTAAAAATAACCCATGATAAAATGGTGTATTCTGGGTTTGGAAGGCTTTTTTTAGCATTAGAAGAAACATATGCATTCTGCTTTCCAAACTCGTAAGACTTGCTGGTATTACAAGCATCATGCTTTAGATATTTTTTTAAAATCGGCATTCACCAGAAAACTCAGAAATTAAATGCTGTCCCTCACAACATCCTTTCTGGCATTATTAGGATGTCTGCATGTTGTGGGAATTACAAACTCTGGTAGCATCACATTAACAAAGTAATTAATCAACATACAATCATTTTTTCCCATTTTTAAAGATTTCTCCCAACCAGATTGAAGAAGGAGCTTGTTTTTCAGAGCTAAATGCAATAACAGAGATAGGAGCATAAAACTTTTATTATGAACATGTAAAGAATTAAAATCAGGGCCACTTTACATTTTCTCTGTCAGACTAATCTGCATTGTGCAGTTGTCAGGGGGAAATGTACTGTTCTGTTGTAAACCATGAGAGGCTTTTAGCCCAATACTGAAAGCAATTTTGCCTGCTCCAAGGCAGTAAAGCACAAATCATTCCTGCCATGAAACCTCCCACATTCCCATAGCTCTTGATCTTCTTTAAAGGGATTTTTTGTGATGCAGAGCCTAGGAGCCCATGTAAAAATCCAGATGTTTACCTCCTGCCAACATAGTATTTTTATTCTACCTCCACCTGCCCTTTAGATTTTAGGATCTTTGGGGTTGAAACAAATGGCCACAGTTATGTCAAGACACTGTTAATTGACTCTAAACCTCAGGGAACAAGCAGGCAGAATCCGATGAGATTAAATGCATTCTGGAGCACTACTCTTCAGAAGGAGAAGAATGCAAGGACCAACATACAAGAAACTGTAACAATAGCCACAAAATAAATACATGTGATTAAAGCAGAATGGGTAAAACACGACAAATTATTACCAAAATTAGAAGTAGTGCATCCATGTTGATGTTATTGCTACAGAGGCAGAAGAAAAAATAGTTCTCCCATTAATTGGACTACTCAAATAGATTTCTATGATAAATAATGTTTATGCATAGCCACAGACAAATAGACAAATCTTGGAAAAACTCAAAATAGGTTTCCCTTACAAATGGGAAACAACTTTGAAGGCAAACATCATGAACAACACAAACCAGGCCTGAAAAACTGTAAAAAATATTCCAAATGTTATCTGTTTAGGACACCATAATAAATGTCCAACAAAGGAAGCAATGCAAAGTTTATATTATGATTCATAATTTTAATTAATGTAAATCTATATAAATAAAAATGTAATGTTTGTTTGTGGGATTAACATAACTAAAAAACCACTGGACAAATTAACACTAAATTTGGACGCAATACACGTATTTGGCCAATGAATGACTATCACTCATAAAAACACTTTAAAAGCCTATCTATCTATCTATCTATCTATCTATCTATCTACACATACACACACACATTACAACACATGTGCAAAACCACATATACACACATATACACAAATACACACACACATATACGTATACACACACAAAACACATATACACAGACTGGGCCATAGCAACATGTGGCAGAGGATGGCTAGTCATCTATATAAATAAAAATGTAATGTTCGTTTGTGGGATTAACAAAACTAAAAACCACTGGACAAATTGACATGAAATTTGGACACTACACCCCTAACAGACCAACAAGGAACCATCACTCATAAACCCCTCCCAAAAAGCAGGGGAAAGGACTTAAAACCCCCAAAAGCTAAATGATGATACAGCACATGTGCAAAAACAACAGCTTCCAGCATCCCCTAGACCAGGCCCTTTAGAGGAGGAGGATGCTCCAAATGCACTGCTTCTAAGTGCAAGCTTGCTTCTCCTTGGAATTCTTTGAGCGCATCCCAATCCATACATATTTCCTATTTCCTATTTCTGGACTGCAACTCCCAGCAATCCTTCCGATAGATAAGATATATATATTAGATAGAGATAGATAGTAGCTAGACAGATCAATCAGGAGGACTGCTGGGAGTTACAGTCCAAGAATAGGTAGAAGAGAAAGAAATGAGAGAAAGAAAAAGGGAGGGGAAGGAAGGGAAGAGGTAGAGAAGGAAGGAAGGAGAGAAGGAAAGAGGAAGGAGAGAAAGAAAGGAGGAGAGAAAGGGGGGGGGGGAGATTGGCCACAGCAACATGTGGCAAGTACAACTAGTGACATATAAAAGTCTGTGTCAGTCTGTTCATGTCCAGTGTTTTGAATGGTAAGTGTTAGGATTTCTTATACCTTATTCTTGATCTTAGATTTTTAACTTCCCATCATTTATATTAAAAAGAGGCTTCTCTCTTACATTTACATTTTGTCTAAAAATCTTCAACTTGACTGTGAAAGAAATATTACAGTTTTTAGTAGATGTATATAGTTACACTGTGTGGCATAAAGATCTCCCATATTTTGAGGGGGCACTATGTCGGCTGTTGTGGGGTAGGCCCAATTTGGTAGGTTAGACTTTGTCATTATCAATACCGATCATGGGTTGGACCGGTGAACATCGGAGCTTTGTTGTTCAAGTGTATGATGAGAACAACTCTTCTTCAATAATGGCACAGAGAGTGTTCTACCCGAGATGACCTGGAGAGTGATAGAGAAATGCTGGAAATGTCTTCACCAATGTATTGCCAACAATGACTGCCATTTGGGTGATATGATTTTGAAAACCCATTAAAACAAAACTGGTTTTATCTACTTTACAGAAATATATACTTTTTTTTTACATAGCTTTGTTAAATTTTTATACCCCTTCAAAGTGATGGAGATTTTTATGCCTCACCATGTATGTGTATGTATGTATGTCTGCTTATATATTACATCAATTACAGCCATAGTCTAGTCTTCTCATGAGGAGATTAATGGGAAAAAAACTTCTAAATCTATTCTTATTCTATCAGCAGTGAAAAATGTTAAGGTCAAATATTAATAGAAACACAGTGCTGAAGAGCAGGCCACCGGAAAGTCCATTTCAAAAAAGCTCTTGTAGTAACAGGACAAGGAGTGTAGATGTAAAAGTTCCTCTCCACACTGCTTCCCAAATGTAATATGCTCAAACATGCTTGGTGGGAACATGAGAGAGGGCCTTTTTTGGTGGCTGCTCCCAGACTGTGGAACTCCCTCCCAAGAGAGGCCAAGATGACCCCATCCCTGATGGCCTTCCACAGGCAGGTCAAGACCTTCTTCTGCCAGCAGGCATTTGGGGAAAGATAAGGGGCATGCTACTGGGGCAACTGTGTGTTTTCAAATGCATTTCAATTGTATTTATTATGTTTTAATTGTATTTTTAACCAGACACATAATACTTCATTTAAACTACTTATTAAGAATTAATATTTCAATTAAGGGTTTTACAATTTTTAAAAGACAAATATTTCTTCTGAAGGACTGGGAATATTTCATTGGGGTGCTGAGGCAGAAATTTAGTTATAATCTCCCTAACAGCTACTCAATCAGAGAGAAAAAAACAAGTCAACAGTATAACACAGAGTTTGGGATATTTACACACTGGTTTCAATGGCTTTTGTCATAACCAAGACTCTGCTAAATTGCAGCCTAAAAGGGTTGTATTTATTTCTTGCCTGACAGTTGATGCCTCTAGAAAATGGCCATATAGCCCGAAAAAACCTACAACAACCCATTACTACTACTACTACAACTATTTACTGTTGTATTTTCCAGTGCTGTTGTATTTTCCAGCACTGAATGCTTGCCTTTTATGTTGTGAACAGCCCTGAGTCCCACAGGGAGGTATGGTGGGATAGAATTAAAGATTTACTTATTTACTTTCTTACTTTCTTGCTATCTAAAAACAGTAATGTATTGGAAACTAACTCTACCTAAAACCTCTTTTTCTCATTTGTCTTATTTCTTTCTACTCTCAGTCTTTAAAATTAGCTTGCTGCTTTGCAACTTTTAGCTGAGATTAACAAGGTTATAAAATTGTAGTTTACTACAAGAAGACACACAACACTGACTATAGAAACTAAATGCTAGCATTTCAAAGATATAGACCCAGAAGAAACAAATCTGGTATAGTGAAAGAGAATTCAGATTTTTACAGTATGAATAAAACAGTCCTGAGGGATAGATATAATTATTATGACTGGACAGCTATATAATTTATACACACAGCATTGATACTCAGAAGAAATAAACTTCAACAATATGAGTGAAGTGATAGTGAAGTAGATAAGAACTCCATGGGTAAAACAAGCAGTGATACTTAGAGCAGACCCATCGAAAGCACTAACTTAAATCTAATCTTTATGACCTTGTTTGGCTGCAACTCCATATATAATTGCCAGATTATAATCAGCACCATCACCTCAGCAAATCTTCATGGAGACTGAGCCAAAGGCTTCCTTAACTGATGCACAGATATGCTGACTTGTTAACCATGTCATGAAATATGTTCCTATAACAAACACAATGCATCTGTGATAGTTGCAGATATTTAGTGGGTATAGGTAAAGGTTTCCCCTTGACATTAAGTCTAGTCGTGTCCGGCTCTGGGGGGTGGTGCTCACCTCCATTTCTAAGCCGAGGAGCTGGCGTTG